TTTGGGGGAGGAGAAGGAGAAACTATCACCTCCAAATCACTCGCTATATAACCCATCATATTTCTTCCTGTTTGATCTTTAAAGATTAAAGTTCAGCATGTTTCAGGACAGTTATATTGCTGAGGTAATATAAAGTTATTAAAAACAGAGAGAGGCACTCATGTCTGTACATCAAAAGGTCTTTAAGACAAAGGAGGGAAAAGTTGATTTCAAACTGGAATTATTAAAAGCATCTGCGGTGCCCTTTACAGTCTATTTAACAGTGCAATACACTTTAGAATAGGTCTAACATACTGTTAGCAGCAAGCTGGTGCTGGTTTAGCATTCCAGCCACTGCTCTGGAGGACTGAGATTTAACTGCTCCGGACTAGGGGGAATTCAAGCTGTTAGGTAATGAATGTTCCCATAGTTGCATCATCAGGATAACACTTTGCTGTGCTTTAATCTGTACAGCGTGTGAAGAAAGTGCTGAGTTCTTTTTGGGGTCATTCAAGGAATCTAAATAAAACTGAAACATCTGTTAGATCCATAAGAAGGAAACGAGTTTAGCAAACACAAATGGTGCTTGCAGAGTATACCTAGATGTGTTTGCATGTGGTGTGGTGTGTATATATGTGTGTATATACGTATGCATGCACACACAAACGTTGTTTGTAAAGGTCTAAGTATGTGTAATAACATTTTGAAAAAGGACAATAGCAACAAAAAAATGTCACCTCACCTTTAAAAGTGCGCATCTCGTTTCTAGTCTGGAGTTTTCCAGCTTCAGTTTCCAACTGATGGAATTTGTTACACCTTTTGTCTGCTAAATTGAAAAGCCCTCTGTTCTTAGAAATTTCTTCTGCGTATACATCTATATATACTGTGATGTTTCCTCTTAAACTTCTCCCTGCCAGTGCCTAACCATATACTTTCCACCAATCTCTTTCAAAAGAGCATCTAATTGCTGAGCAAATGCAAGATGGTGATGCCCCTTTCTGACCAAAGTGTTAAGCCAACAGTCAAGCCTCTGCAACTTGTTGCCATTAAGAGAAGTCAATGGTGGAGTCAGATAGTTAGATGCAATTGTATTCATTTGCAGTGTACACAGCCCTGTTTCTCTGCACAGAGGAGAAACCAAATAACAGGAAGCAGATTTTTTGCTTATAGTTTTAAGCCCCTTTTCCAGTTGCACTTAAGCCAGATGCTCTCACCCCCCTACCTTTTCTTAGGGTCTGTCTACATCGTATCCCCAACATTTGGAGGGATGGGCACCAAGCATGACCCACCCACCGGGTCCTGCTCACAAGTAGCAAGCACAGAAATGAAGCAGTGAACTAGAGGCCCCCCCCAGTCCCATAGCTACTCTCGAGCTCTCAGTGAGCTTTGGTTTGTACAGTCCCCTCTTCCCCTACGCTCCCCTCTTATAAAACTTCTGTGTTATCATAGGATCTTTGTTACTTTGGAAATACCAGCTAGCAGAAGGCAGGGAAGGGTGGCAACTTGTAGACGTAACTTGGCCTGAGAGGCATAACCTTGCAGAGCCAATGGCCTGCTTTGCCAGACTCTATCAATGGCCTTGCAGAAACATCCAGATTTGATCTTGCTAATATGGTGATAAAGCACCCACATTATTTTGGGAAGTTATAGTTTCAGATCACTGTTAAAATTTGTCAAGTTAAAGTGTAAAATTTGTAAAGTTTGGGGCCCTATCTTGTATACCCTATATCTGAGAGTCATCTTATTTCAGTCAATAGGATTCCTCGCTTGAGCAAGAGTTACAGAACCGAGTCATCAGCAGGCTATATCAAAATATTATGGTCATTTTCCATTTATTACTAACAAAGGATGTTTGTATGTTCCTTCCCCCTTCCCCTCCTACTTTTATGGGACCCAATAGTTTGTTTTAATGAACAAACATGAGGATACATTAAATTTAGTTGGAACTGGCTCTGCCTAAGTGTCACAGCAAATATTCTCTGTAGTCCAATGTCTGCTTTATTACATACTGTCATGCTGCCACAGACAAGGAGGCAGTATTGTTAGATGAAAAAGCACAGGACTTGAGGAGTTAGAAGGTAGGCCTTCTGCCTGATGCTTTATATGGCCTTGGGTGAGTTGCTTTCCCTCTTTACGCTTCAGTTCCTCCCTCTGAGGATACCAATATCCACCCTTGAGATCTGTAAAGGAAAAGCATTTTATCAGTGCAATTCATTACACAGGCAGCATTTAAAAGTCTCCCGCCATCTGGCAATGAAGGGTTTTCTTGTGTGCTAGAGAGACCTAAACATCACCCCAGAGCATTTTTAAAACTTTCCCTCATTCATATTGCTCCAGAAACTTGAGACTGAGTTACTTGGGGATAGGGCAAATAGATGGGGCCAGGGCCTGAGGGGTCCATTTCAGGATAGTTGCGGGGAAGAGAGATGAACGGAGAGGGAGAGGGTTTACAGCTAGATTGGGTTTTACTTAACGGTGCAAACGCTGATCGGGATTACAAAGTCGAGTTTAACTTTTACCCTGTAGAAATCCCCGCTCCATAAAACTCATTATGATGCTTCTGAAAACTTGGGGCGAGGCTAATCCCCAGCTTCCTCCGCAGGAAAATGACAGTCCGTGGAGACAAAACTCCATCTTTCTAGGCCACTGTTTTGCCTCAAGCCTCAACAGTTGCATCTGTGGGAACCGTCGTGCTTGAAAGGCCACCTCTGATTGGGAAGGAGAAGTTTAGTACACTTAAGGCCACTTTTGATTGGCTGAGAGAGGAACAAAGCTGTGGCAGCACCAGCCGGGAAAGCGATGCTTGTGTTGCTGGGTTACGCCGTACACAGAGCCCGGCTTCGGCTTTGTGCCTCTGCTGTGCAGCCCGGTCCGGGCAGTCCCTGCTCTCCTCCTCGTCCTCCCACAGGCACTCTCGCTGCCCAGCAGTGGATCAGAAATACCTTCCTTAGCTGGGCAGATTCAGCCTCAAGCTGGTCACCACACCCCAGAGCTGAGCACATTGCCCCAAGGGCAGGTCGGCAGTTTTAGTCTGAACTCATTCCTAAGATTTTGGCCGATGTCTGTCTCAAGTCCAGGGGAAGGGGTTAAATTTACAGACCCTTTAAACATCGCTTTAACGTGTCAGTTTAGGGCTGTGGCAAGTGGTGGTGTTAATTTTTCCTTTTGTAGTTTTAGAAAGCATCCGGCTCCGTGGAGGCCCCACCACCCCTGTGAAGCAGGAACTGAAGCAAGAATAAAGGCCGTCGTTCTTTTTGCAAGACAACTACCTCTGCAACGAGCATCTGGCAAGAGAGAGAGCTGTGCAAGTTCTGTTATCACGATGCATTCCCGCGCGTACGTGTTGCTGGAAAGGGAACACCAGGAATGGAAAGAAGCCAACGTGTTTGTAAGTGGCACCTCCTCTTGGTTTCCATTACCTACGCCTGGTATAACCAGATATCTAGCACATGCATGCTCTTGTCCTAATTTTCTGCCCGAGGCCTGGACTTCCCTTATTTTGTATAAGTATGCCTTCCCCCATCCAGTTTTCCAAGGAATGAAACAAAACCACAGCCTTGGTGTAATGGTTTTTTTCTTTTTAAAAAAACCCTACTATCTTTGATTATTTTGCAGTTACTTTCCCAAATCATTAACTTGGGGAGACATAGTTCTTTGAAATGTAATTATAAATGATTTTATAATAGTGAATCTTGGGTTTGGGGGGGCGGGGTTGGAATTTCATTGTAAACTCCAGGAAGTACGATAAGGGTCCAAATTAAATCCATATTGCAGTCTTCACATTTATGCAATAATCCCACTGACTTCTGGTTAGCTTCACATTGATTATGTGGTCATACGAGGAAGGAGATTAACGTGGCAGCGAGCACATTAAATATGCACACTTTTTTGTTGTTAAATTCCACTGCAATTCTTCATGGCTTTATGCAATGGTTTTATGTGTTCAAAGAACTCAAAATGCTTTAGAAATATTGGTGAACTAATTTCTCCAGCTTTTACTTTTAATAAAAATAACTGAGTATTGAAGAAAAAAAATCAAGCTCCAGATTTACCTTCTTTTTGAACCTTTTAGGGCATCTTTGCTGCTCCTATTAATGATAACCTGCTAGAATGGTTAGCTGAAGTCCAAGGGCTCAAGGACTCCCTCTGGGAAGGTCTGTCATACTGTTGAAGACTTAAATGTTACAGTGCCATGTGATATGTGTGTGTGTGGTTTTACAATATTTCTATCATTCTGTACTGCTGGCTATTTAAAAATTGATGTTGTAAACCATTTTAAGAATGCAAGTGGTACTACATTGGCTTTTTTTTCTAAGCTACCCATTAGATTTTAGGGCAGCTGCGTGTACTCTCATTAACCCTTTGTAATCATTTCTGTCCTACACAGTGAGCATGTCTACACATTCATGAATGTGCAGTAGTTATAGTGCATTTAGTTTAGTACTTGTTTAATGAAGGACTAACTAAATGCGCAGTAACTACAGTTACTGCACAATAGGGCCAGCACATAGTTTTTTTGTGATGCTTACTGAACAGCAGCCTAATAACGTGCAGTAGTTTATTGGCACGGCTTTTGAGCAGCACGCTGCTGGGCAGTGTTATTAGGCTACTGCACAATAAGCGGCTTGTGTAGACATACCCAGTGTGCATCATAACTATCAACATTAAAAAAAAAAAGGCTGGGATTTTCATAGGAGGCTTAGGGAGTGACATACCTGGTTCCCACTGGATTCCAGCTCCCTTAGTATCCTTTGAAATGTACAGCCAGGAGTCCTCTGTGATTGAGGAAATGTGATAATAAGCACTTTATCAGTAGGTGGCTGGCTCTGGCTCACATGTAAGGGTTAACCATGTAGTGTTATCGTTTGACAGTAGTTTAGCGATCTTGGTCCAGTTCTTTTAGACAGATTATCTACATCCAAACAACCAAGAAACTTCCTGTTCTGGGATTCCAAATAGTTTCCTTCAAGGTGAGGGGTCAGCCTTGCATGGTGCTAAGCACCTTCAGCATTCACTGAACTCCCGTGTGCCATTCTGTTAGTGTGTTCAACGCTGTACAAAACCGGGTGCATAGGGAGCCTGACCTGCTCTCTTCCCCCCAAGTTTATTCCCTACAGTTTTGCAGATATAGTAATACAGACAAAGAGGAGAAGTTCAAGGGCCTCTGGACTAGTTTGAGACAGTCGTAAGCACTCCATGACATAGAGTCTAGCTCACATTCTATACACTAAACGGTGGCCTTATCCCATAACTTGAGAAATCAAAGGAGAAAGGGCATGAAAGTAACATAGCTAGGGGTAGGCAAATGGGGCACTAATTCAGAAGAGAGAATGGCAGCCCACAGAAAGCCCATGCCATGGAAGCAGCAACTTGGGTTCAGTAACCCATGCTGGAGGCAGGGTAGCAGTGGCCTCTGAGTGGGGATATTGGACTTTTCAGTTCTTGGGACATAAAGACTAGCAGCTCTCCAGGACTAGGAGCAAGGATTCTCAGTCTATCCACAGAAAATATGTCCTGGTTACACATGTGGCACATTTTCCATTTTCAAGGTTTTTTCACATCTCTGAGGTCTAGAAACTTTTTTCCTTTTTTATGAAAGCTGAGGGGCTGATATAGTTGAATGACTCCTAGAGCTGGGGCACTAGGTGTGGGATTTATCATGCTTGTGCTTCAATCCAGTACTGCTGTGCTTGGACCTATACAGTGTAGCTTGTCCCTTTTCATGCATGCTAAAGTCATTTGATGATACTCCATCAGGGCTGTAAACAGATGTGTAGTGAGAGGTAATTTAAATAAGAATGACCTTTTTCTATAGTCTAGTGAGAAACATTGTCCTTCAGCTTTTGCTTCCCAGAGCTTGTTCACATCAATACAAGGGGGGAAAAAGATTTTAAAATCAAAAGAAAATCCATAATAGCATAGACTTGACCTGGACAAATACCAGGCAGGTGTGCTTGTTAAATACAATACAATGTTCTAATGCTGATCTCTCTCTTTCTCTCTCTCTCGTTCTCTTTCTCTTTCTCTCTAACAGGAGCTGTTCTCCAGCTCACCTTAAAGTATTCTGAAAGTTACAACAGTGTCCCTCCAAGTGTTTCATTCAACACCATTCCATTTCACCCCAACGGTAAAGGTCATAGGAGATGCTGTCTGAGTGTGTAACATGTTTCAAATACTGTATTTTCTTGCATACCACACATCTGCATATAAGACATGCACCTTGTTTTTAGGAAGGGAGAAAGAAGAAAAAAAAAGTTTTTTCCAGAATTATGGGTGCATTGAACAGGGACAGAGCTTAATCTTCATCTGACTTATTTTCCCTTTCCTGTTTAACTAAAAGCTGAAACTCTAGCTGCTGCTGAAGACTGGTTCCCAGGATTTTGAAAAGAGCTAAAGAGTCTCTAGGGCTATGAAATAGGGCAAGAGAGGCCAGGAGCAGCTATATTGCGTGAAGAAAGGTTAGCTGCTGTTAAGACCACCAAAAAGGAGAGATGATCATTGATATCTGGGCAGTGAAGACTAATGAGCAAATAAATCAATTTATTCCTTCAGTTGCCTGAACAACAATGCCACTACTGCCGCACAGTGGAACAGGAAAGCGGGGTGCTTCTATTCTGCGCAAAAAACTTTCCCACATAAGACCTGCACCCCAAAACTGGGGGGAGGGTCTTATTTTGGGGGGGAAGGTCCATGTGGTATGCAAGTAAATATGGTATTAAACTTGGCTTTTTACTTCCCTACAATATCTTTTGTTCCAATAGGAAACTTGCATTCTGCCCAAAATCTCAGTCTAGTCTTTCAGTGTGGGATTCTTAAGCCATGCTGAAATACCATTGGAGCCATTTGTCTAGGGATACTCGGATTGTCTTGGTTGTAGGGAGCAGAGGAAGAGCATAAATCTTCATTTCAGATCTCTGCGTGCCCAAACTGATTAAATGTAGGATTCCACATTCCTCTGGACACCCTTCTCAACACCCATAGGCATCACATAGGCCAGAAGCTCCTCACATCTCAGAGTAGGGAAAAAGGGCATTGCCCCCCATGATGCAGCAAAATGCACCATCAACCTGTCCTTCCCTCTGTAGATAAGAGTATCTCATCCTGCCAGCTAATGTAGTTAGTGCTGTAGTGGTAGTAGTGTGCAAGTAGTAGTCGTGTGCAGGAGTGCTGAAGGTTCAAGGAAGGTTGTTACAATGGCATAAAATGGAACTTGTTTTGACCTTTGTCATTTAAGGTCAATCTGGTGTGGTGCCAGAGGACTGGAAGAGGGCCAAAGTGGTTCCCATCTTCAAAAAGGGGAAGAAGGAGGACCCAGGAAACTATAGGCCAGTTAGTCTTACCTCGATTCTGGGCAAGCTTTTTGAGAAAATTATTCTGGCACATATCCACGAGGCGCCAGCAGGGGAGGCCATGCTTAGGGGCAACCAACATGGGTTCATTAGTGGCAGGTCCTGTCGGACCAACCTGGTAGCCTTCTATGATCAGATCACCAAATCATTAGATGCAAGGGTAGCAGTGGACATAGTCTTCCTGGACTTTCGGAAGGCCTTCAACACTGTCTCACCGCGTTCTCATTAACAAACTGGGGGACTGTGGTGTCGACACCACCCAGTTAAATGGGTCGCCAACTGGCTGGAGGGCTGCACCCAGAGAGTGGTGG